AGGTAGCCATGATACCAGAGCCTGTCTGTATAATGTCTTGTGACGTCCACGGCCTACCCCAGTTACCACTACTGTGCATGTGTGTCAAGGACAAAAAGGCAGATGTGGCAGTGGAAGGTGTCAAAGCAGTTTGGAGAGAAAAACAAAGTAAAAAACAACAACAAAAAGAAAACGATTAATCGATTATTAAATTAGTCATCGATTAATCGATTAATCGTTGCAGCCCTATTTAAATACTTTAAAACTCTTGAACATTTGTTTTATTTCTTATTGCAGTTTCTTCACATTTATCTTGACTTTGTAAATTAATTTTTTTTTTTATATTTTACAAACGGATTATTTTAGGTCAGTAGTGATGGAGCTTTCAAGCACCTGATGATTATAAAATCTCAACAGATTGAAATAATTCTGTAGTTATAAAGAAGACACAGTAACAAACAAATAACAGCTGATCCAGATGAAAGCCGGTGTCGTCTGATGTTTTTAACAGCAGCCTCTCTGTTGGTGATGAATCATGAAGAGGCGTTTAGGAGACCCTCGCTCTCATGTTGCAGGAAGTTTAACCTCTTCAGCCTCGTTTTCTATTTCTTCTGTTAAGATCTGTCAGGTGAACCTGGACATGTCAATAGAAAGCTAAGAATCTGGGCTAAAAGCTCATGGAAACTGTTTTTACATTAAACACAGTTCAAACATAAACAGCTCTATCAGAAAGTAAACAAATTGAAGCAAATCTGTAAAAGCTTTTTGACATTTTTAAAAAGCAGATTGTAAAGTGTGTTAAGTTTTTTTTTACTTGATTTTCAGTGAATATGGTCCAGCTGAAACCAAATATTCTTTCTCATTGTTTTATAAAGTATATATGGTGACAAATACCATAAATGTTTTTTTTTTCTAAACAAGTCTTTTCAGGCAGGTAAGAAAAACATTTTTAGCAATTAAAACTTCAGATTTCTTATTGATGTACCAACATGATCCGTCCTGTGCAGAATGACAAAACATCAAATTATTATTTAAATAAAACCTCTGTAACTTTGCTCTAGTTTATTTTAGCAGCATGGATCTTTGCACAGGTAATGTCCACGTGTGTGTTTATGGTTTCCAATAGTTTTTAGTAATAATAAAATAATAAAACAAATCTGTTCCATCCTCACTATCTCTAAAACAACAGCTGCTTTGATTCTGACACTTTAAATAAAATCTCCCAACTGTTAATTTTATTTTGATACCAAGACTTTTTAAGTAGCGTTTGTAAATGTTGAGATGCTGAGATGTTATTTTAAGCACAAACCCCTCGGAGCTGAAGAGGTTAAACTTGTTAGAGCCCGTGTCAGTTTGGCATCAGGGAGTCGTGAACTAAACTATGACTGAATGGAGACGCCATGGATGGATGGAGGCGGAGCCTCAAGAATTAGAGTGAAGAAGAATTCTTTCATGCAGGTTTGGAGCTCCTGATCGCTGCAGGAGCGAGCAGACAAAAAATATTTTAAGCAGAGTCAGCAATCTTAGGTTGCAGCTAATGATCCTTTCAGAATAAAACACACTGGAGCTCAGAGTAATGTTTTGTTTTGTTGGTGTAACAGAATCAGTTAAACATCCTGTAAAGGGATAGTTTTGCAGACTTGAGCAGAACTTGGACCTAAATGTTAGCAGGATGTCGAGTCAGAGACCCGTCAGGACCGGTATGAGCCGATCCTCGGTCCGGTCTCTGAGCAACTACCTCTTCATCTTTTCACTTCTACCATCTCTGAACCCTCATCATCCTCAGTCTGGGAGCGGTTCTGGTTCTGATGGTCACCTGGAAACAAAAGCCCGTCTCGTAGTGTGACTCTGGAGGGTCTGTGCAGATAACTCAGCGTTGGTTTCACAAAGGAAAGATTAGCACAGAGGCTGCCTGCAGTGGTTCTTTCAACCACAAAGTGTTTCAGTGAAGTCATTTAGAGGCAGAGAGGCTTTCTGTCTTTGTTCATCAGCCTGATTCACTGGAACAATCACTGACTTCTAATGAGGAGGCATAAAATCTGATGATCTTTAGCTGAATTACCTCAGGAGATCAGTGCACCTGGTGATGATGCATCTAATAAACATTATATTTTATTAAACAGAACAACTGCAAACAAACCTTTGTTTCCTGCAGAATTAAACTGAAACTAGAATCTGAATCTGTTTCTGCAGGAATGATTCTGATTTTTAAACTGCAGTAAAAAATCTCAGACTGTAAAAAGCTGCATGATTAAACATTTAAACTAGTCTGAGGAGCCTGCAGTGATGAAGAGGACCAGGTTTCAGGACGGTCTCAGAGCAGACTCTGATGGATCTGTGTTCTGACACGACGAGCCGAAACAACCGAGTCAAACCGGGTCTCTCCGGAGCCTCCTCAGTAATGAGGGCGTTGCTTCGGTCAGTCGTGGTGAAGAAAGACAGACTTACTGATCCGTCTACGGTCCGACCCTCACCTGAGAGGAGGAGGTTTATCTCATTAGGACGCCTCCCTTTGGAGGTCTCCTGGGCACGAACCAGAACCAGAACCCCCTGGAGGGATTATAAACTCAGCTCAAAACGTAAGGAAAACAGTGTTTGGTAGATTATTTCTTTATTGTAACAAAGATTCTTGGCAATAAATCTTACACTGTTAACTTCCTTTGAAGTGGAGCCACATGTGTAAGGAACATGCATCGTACACAGGAAACATCTCTGTTCTCTGACAAACTGCTTCTAGAGTTAAGATTTGTTTCCAAGAAGCTTCGATACAACAAAGAAACAATTTATCAAAAACTAATTTACTTTTTTATCCTCTCTGGTCTGGGACCACCTGAGGGTCCCCAGGAGGAGCTGCAGAGTGCTCAGGTGCCTCTGCACTCGCAGCCCTGTTGACACAGGTGTGATGATGTAACTGACAACAGGACAGTAGAGGGTTGATTTCAACCATCACATCCACCACACAGTCCTGGTTCCAGGTCCCCACGACCCGTTAATGAGGAGCAGAGACGATGAGAAGCTTTAGTTCTGCTCCTAACAAACCGTCTGAGACGTGTCTTCAAACGTTTGATACGAGACAAATCCTCAGACGTTTGATCAGATGAGAGAAGAAGAACAGGAGAACCCCAGCTCCTGTCACCGTTCTCCCAAACCCAGTGAGGACAACCTGCTGCTCCTCCTGTCTAACACGTGTCCACAACCTGCTGCTCCTCCTGTCCAACATGTGCCCACAACCTGCTGCTCCTCCTGTCCAACATGTGTCCACAACCTGCTGCTCCTCCTGTCCAACACATGTCCACAACCTGCTGCTCCTCCTGTCCAACATGTGTCCACAACCTGCTGCTCCTCCTGTCCAAAATGTGTCCACAACCTGCTGCTCCTCCTGTCCAAAATGTGTCCACAACCTGCTGCTCCTCCTGTCCAAAATGTGTCCACAACCTGCTGC